TCGCTGTTCCACTGAAAGTAGGTTGTGGTTAGACAGTGTTCGAAGAGTTTGGCGATGTCTGGTGGAAATTCTCTCGCAACAAGTTCCATTGCCTCCATGATTGCCTCCCTGACCCACATCAAAACTCACAAGGATTTCCCCGGGCAATAACGACAACGAGTGCAACAAAATGGGATGAGTCCTTTATAAAGCTGTCCGTTTTAGACTAGACGGCCACCAAATACGCTTCGACGAAGTTGACATTCTGCACCAATCTGAAAGATACTACCCGAGACTCACCAGGGAGGCCATCGAAATATTTAAACACCAAAACAATTTCAACAGAAAAGAAGAAAGTACGGCACTCAATCCAGATTGGAAGCGCGTTTTGCGCCAAACAGCATGTGCGCCGAAGCGTTGGAACCCCCACCCATCCCCCACGCATGAGCACAAACGGCTGGGCTGCATAAATACGACTGGGAATCCGGGATTACTTCGCCCACTGCCTCATCGCCTTTGAGAATGTCCACCGCAGATGTGGACGAAACGTCAGGAAGAAATTCCGATAGACCACGGCTTCAAAGCCCGGAAAACGCCGGCCGTGAAAGCCTTCATAGTCTGATAAAAGTAAGATTGTTTGTTGAACAAAACAAAGCCAGTTTCAAGTTTAAGTAACTTATTCTAGAATAGGGAATGAAATTGTATGCAGCGTATAATGTTTAAAACTGTGTGTTTATTTAATTTAAATCAAATCTCATTATCTCAAAACAGAACACATACGAGATTAAATGTATTAAGTACAGTTTTTTCTTAATTTGTATATTTGTTTTTATACAGGGTGTCCCGTAAGCACATGATCAAAATGATACCGCGATATTCTTTGCACCAAAAGAAGACGATCTGACCTCTCTATTGATGCTGAGTTCTTCAAAAAAAATATCTTTTTTGAAACATCGGGAGAATGGTCCGATCTATTTAAGTGAAACTGGCTGTGAATTTGTTCTAATGTAAGACTCATATTTTGATGAAACACTCAGGTCAGATCGTCTTCTTTTGATCTAAAGAATATCGCAGTACCCTTTTGATCATGTGCTTACGGGACACCCTGTATAGAAACTAGAGATAAAGGACGTGGAAGATGTAGTAGTCGATTTAAGGTATTCATATTCATATTAAGGTAAAATTCAACAATTTTAATTAGGATTTTCGAGAATATATTTAGGAGTTATATATTATATAGAGTGATTGAAAACTGGCGTCATTCCTTTTAAAGGGCATTGAAAACTTTTTTCCATAATTTCTTGAAGATATTATATTAGATTAGATATGTAACAGGTGAAAATCGAAAATCGAAATTTCAACTTTGTTATTATTAAGCATTATTTTGAAATGATCTCATGTTTAATTGGTAGCATTTTGGAATACATAAGCATTTAAAAAGAAAAAAGGTATTAAGTACGAATTTACAAGTAAAAAACCTTATCTGAACACAAAACAAAATAAAATTCCCGAATACGAAAGAACATTGGATGAAACAATCTGATTCATTATAAATAACATACTGTGTTATGTTGGCCTGCATTTTGGGTGAGCTCCTTGATTTATATTTTTTTGCTAAAAAACTTATTAACGTTGGTTTTGGCACGGCTTTAAGGAAATAAAAAACTGCTCATTTGGAATATACTTAAATATATACCCCATAAATCAAACGGATTAATGATAAACTTACTTATAGCAACCATAATCTGTATCTTTGATAATAACATCTTCTTGGGTAGTCCAAAAGTGGATCTGGCTTAAAAATGCTGTCATGATTGGATTAAACCGGTAAAGTGTTCGAAGTTGAATCCATTTCACGCAAAATAAAACATGTTTTCATTCTTATTTTTAAAGGCAAAAGAAAACTCAAAGCTCTGCCTCAAAGCAAACTAAATGAAAATATTGACAAACTAAAAAAAGACAAGTCAATTTGACACTGAAATTACTTATTTTCCCTGATTGTGTAAATCTAAAGGTTTGCTTGTTTATCGCATACTGTTCGAGAAAGATAGACAAAACTGACTATAGTTATTAAACTATGAGCGTAAAATACTTATAATTTAAAGTGTATCAGCTTTTAATCAGTTTTAATACAAATTCTGTACAGACTTTCTATATATTATGAAAAGAAAATAAAAGTAAACTTCTGTCCAGTGGCATTGCCAAAATGCTATATGCACATTTGCCAACACTGTCCGGCAGCTGATCCTGCAATAAGCCTTGTTCAATGCCTGCATGCATGTTTTTATTTTTATCATTTAAACATAACCTAAACCTTATCAATTTGTTAACAACAATAATATGTCAAACTACGTGATTAGTTCATAAATTATTACAGAAACATTCACTCTACATATGATGGGCATTTTTTTAGTGGTTGAAAAGATGTGTGTAATATACTCTTGTTAATTTACAACTCAAACAACTGACCAAAAATATTGGTAAGTCTTTTTTTCAACAATATAAATTAATAGTTTAAAGGTCCAGTTTTATAGTGAAGAGTATATAGTTAAGTAGTGAAATATGTATTTCTACAGTATCATAGTTCGGTTCAAGTGTAATTTGATGAAGCATATCTGAGAATACATTCTAGTGTTGACTCAGTACATATAATAATAGTAACATTCATATTTATTTATTCGTCATACACTGAGAGTACAAAGTACCGATACACATTTTCACCCTTAGTCTTGTATAAGACTTATACTTTTTTTTAGTAAAAAGTTGGGTATGATCTAAACGAAACAAAATATTTATTTATCGCGTATGCGTATGTTAATAATACCATAGAATAATACTAAGTATACCTACATGTTGTTTGCATCCAGTAATAAACTACTTGCATCCAGTAATATACTCAAATCAGTCCGTTTAATAGCAATTAATACAATAATAATTATTTATTCGGCCTTACTCAGCCCACACATTTATCAACCTTTAAATCTAAGAAACTGCACTCTATTGTTACAGTATTATCATAATAGTGAAACCTCCATCAGTAATACAAAATTTTTTATTTTTTTTATATTTTGTGTAGTGCGGAGTATAAGCCAACTTAAAGCCGTATAAGGTATCTCGAATGATTTCGGAAAAAATGTTATTTTTTCTGGTCCGATTCACATTGAAAATGGTTCGATACCGTATCCGTTCGCAAAACCTACTGGAAAGAATACTTGTTGAACTTTATTCAAACATGAAAAAAAGATTGGACTGGAGCTAAGCTTCCTTTCAGAGGTCTAAAGTTGGAAAAAGTTATACATATCTCCTAAACGGTCGAATATCAGTTCAATTATTGCATGAACGTTTCAGTAGCTATTCGCGCTGCATAATTTATGAATTGAGTTAAAAGTATATTTTTATTATTTACACAATGTCAATTTTAAAGTAAATTTATACATGGCGTTCGTAAAATTGAGATATATTAATTGAGTTTTGAATCAAATTTCAATTCAATTCAGACAAAAGGGACACCTTATATGTTTATACATAACATCGAAATACAATACAATGCAGTATGGTTGATATCATTGTCACACTTAGGCCCAAAGCAGTAAGAAAATTTTAATAGGCAATTAAAATACATTCAAAAAGTTACATGGACAGTACAAAGCTTACTATAACGTATAAAATGATCAAAGCTACAAAAAAATATTTATTAGTAAATAAGACCATTTTAAAAATTTACTCATGTAGTGTACCTGAAGAAAATAGTAAGTCTACTGGCAAAATAAGATATGAATCAGAGACAAGGAATTATTGTTTGTCTCTGATGTGAATAGTTCAAAGCTGGAAGACGATAAAACTGTTATTAGCAGATAAAAATATTTTTAATTCACTTTGACTGATACATAGAGTACATAAAAAAGATAATGTTAGTAAAATAATTAAGAAACCTATATCGTGATATATGAATCGTTAAGTGTAATATACGACTTTTATTAATATATAGAAGCATTAAAAAAATTACTTTATATATCTGAAAATGGATTAAATTAATTAAAAGACACCCCCAAAACCCACTGCACAACCCTTCCAACCAACTACTATACGAACGCACAAACATGACAAAAATTTCGGAAAGACTAATACACTTACAGACAAAATGGACAAACAACCCCCACAACTGGACCATACTGAATCCCCTTTGCCTCACAAGACCGACAAAACACTCCCGTTTTCGTTCCCCAACAGATACTTTACTAGAACACCTACAAACGCAACTGAACTAAGGACTAATATCTGTTTGTTTTGTAAGCCAGGAGTTTTTACTTTTTTTTTATTTTCTTTGTATAGCTGATTAATTTATACGAACGTTAGGAATAGGAATTAATTTTAGAATAAGCTAGGCTAAGGCACATATATAC